CTGAAAAGGTTTCCTTTCCTAAGCAAAAAGAACATAACTGATGCTAAAACATGTACTTCCTTATCTTACGGAAAACTAGCAAGTTCCAAGCACCACCCACGAACTAATTCAGTCTGTAAGTGACTGCTGTCTGATACCCAAACACAAACTCATTGCCAGCTATGTAAGGAAAATCACACTCAAAGGAGGAAGCTATTTTCCAAGGTCTGGACCAAAGCATCCGTAGGCGAGAATCCAAAGGCAGTTAGAAGTAGTGATGGTGTTATCTGACTTGGCGTGCATGGTTTTGGAATGAGGGTACAACATGTAGCTTAAGACATATTCAAAATGCTGGATTAGACCAGACTCTCAGACTACTTAGCTTTGCTTTTTGTTCCAAAATGCAGAGAGAACAGGCTGCATTATTTCAGTCAAAAACCGTTGAGCCGGGAAGTGGCTTTTTCCTGAATTATATGCAAAAAGGTATGTCCTTCTGACACAAAAAAGCATATGAATGAAAATTTGGTTTTTCTCAAGAACTGCTACTCTTCTTAATAGGAAAATGTATTCTGAAAGCATTTCTTTACCTTGGACTTAAGATGTCCCACCTCACAGGTCTCCTTTGGTTGAAAAAGGCACAAGTCCTGCTTCCTTGGCTTTGGGCCTAGATCCACAGTAAGCAAACAATAGCTGTTTCCTTCTGACATTCACAGGCGTAGCTGTCTCAACCGAGCAAACTCACGAGTCATAGGCAAAGCCAGACCTGCAGTAAATGAGGATTACTCGCTCAGGGAAGGTGTAACCAGCAGAGGAACGATAGGTATGTACAGCTTTGTTCACAAAATGAGAAGGAATCAAAGTTTGCTTATTAAAGGCTGTCGGACCCTTCTGTCCGCTGATCTATCTCATGTGAACAGGCTCCAACACTGACACCAACAACCGGCCCTTGCTCCTCGAGCACGCTCACTCACTGCATTAAGCTGTCACGAAGAACGCGAAGCCGTCGCTTCCTATCAAAGATAACGCCTCACGAGCCAAGCAATTGCAGGATTGTTCACTGAAGCGAGACATACCGTTAGCGCATCGAGAAAACCTCTTCAAAAAGAGGCAAGCATTTGTCCCAGTTAACAACCTCGCTTTCATATATGTTTGCTCAGGTAGTTTACTGAAGTATTTGTAGCGCTAACAGGCTAGGTAAGTATATTGATATAAAAAACGCCCAAAGTTATTTTAAGAACTCAAAACTTTACACCAGTTACTGGAAATGGCACGGAACAACTCAAAGGTGGATTTAGGCAAACCACTGTACAACGTCTATTTGCGGCCACTGCCAGTACAAACACCTTCATAGATGTCCATGTATATCTGCATTTACCGAGGAAAAGAAAACATCTTAAACTCGTATCTTTTCATTGCCATAGAGTAGAACTGGCCTTCCTACAATACCCAGCAGACCAAAATTCAAAGTAACATCTGCTACTGCTCTGAGGCAAAAGAGGCATACTGGGAGGAGGGCAGGAGGAGGGAAGCAAAGTCCAGCAGTAGACAGGAAGCTACTCTGGTCATAGACAACTGCAAAACACTCAAACATTAGAGAAAATAAATACACAATAGAGAAAAACACCGTGAGGAGCTATTGTTTTTTCTACAAAATGCAGTAATCATGGAGAACAAAACATTTGGGAAAGCAGAAGGAATTGTGCAAGCAGACATGACCCTCACATTACCAGAATTCCTGGATACTGATCTGGATATCGAAAATACCTTGCAAAATCAGCCGTGTGTGCAGAAAATTGTACAAGAACATCAGGCTACTCTTCCAGGACGCAGCTGAGGCAGCTACAAGTGACAAGGATGCAGAAGTGTCCTGTCAAAGTAACATTGCCACTGGAAGGTCAAGAAAAATCTGGAGGCATAACTTACTAATAAGATGTGGGACCAGAAACCCAGGCATGCTTAGTGGAACTAAGGTATCTCCATGGTGAGGGGAGCAGGTTAAAAGCCAGATGATATATATATCCTGAAGAGCAGACCTGGCTGTGCAGGATCAACAATAAAAATTATCTTTGGCCTTGCCCTGCAGCAGATCGGATTTGCTTGTCGCACAAGTGTAGCACCCTTGGACAGCAAGAGACTTCCAGACATATAGTTCCACCCATCAGTTGTGTTTCTTGTTTTTTAAGCAACCAACCCACTGGACACTGTAGGTCTTGGGGGTGCTTGTGTATCAAATTTACATTAGGAAGCTGGTAGCAAGCTGTTATTAGACAGGGCCATAGCTCAAGCAGAAAAAAATATTACCTCTTGCTAGCAAGCACTATAGCAATGCAGGATGTGACTGACCCATAGCAAAAGTCTTCTCTACGAGAGAGCTGCTGGCTGCCCTACCTCTCAGAAAACCTGGCTGTAACCTAAATCCTTCGAGAGGAACAAGTCTTCTATGAAGCCTGCCTTCCACTGTTTCTAAACTTTCAGCCAAGGAGAGTCAGCAATGGTTTTCCTTCTTGATTACTGATATGAGTTCAAGTCCAAGCCATGACAATGCCAGCTGACACTCAAATTTTCACGAGTCCAACCTCCCAGAAATAGCTCAGTTGGACCTCTCCAATTCCTAACTGCCTATTTTTGGAAAATACCCTCCTGTCCTCTCAGTAATCAGAGTATGAAAAAAAAAACAACAGATGGAATTTACAAGTTACACTAGTGGAATTTACAAGTTACACTAGTAGCTTCACTCCTGTTAGGCTTTCAAGCCGCGGAGGGAAGAGGGAAAACAGCTCAGTTTTCTATGCTAACACTGGTTTAGCCTATCAAGTAAAGAACCCGGTATTTACTCCAGAAAGAAGACTAGAGACAGAAGAGTTTCTGGAAGAGGAACCTCCTGGCTTTCAAATGGGAGTTGTAATCCATCCCCAGTCTCACTAGGCTATGGCTCGGTTACCACTGAGATTGAGCTTGTTTACTCCAAAGCAAAAAGCTTGGCATGACTTACAGAAACAGCTTTTCTTGCCAGAGCTCTAATAGCAAATGTCTGTGGAAAAGCCGCTTGGAGAAGTGCTGTTTACTTTGGTAATGAAGCAAGTTCCCTGGAATGAAGTCTTGCAATCTTCCCAAGAGATGTTGCAATACATTTACCTGTACCTCAGCTGTATCATACGATACAGGCTGCTCTCAGAGTCAGAGAACTACTTGGCTAAGTCAGGAGGCCAAGGCAAATGCATCTCAGCTACTCTAGACATGACTACACTCTACTCCTACACTGGGTACACAACTTGGGTCCTAATTGCAATTGGCTTTTTTTTCTTCTCTGCTTCAAGCTAAGCCACAGCCAGCAACACCTCTTGAAGATGCTTTTGAGAAAAGAGCCTCAAAACAAGGTTCTCAATCATCACCTTCGTAACTGTGGCTTTAAAGCCAAACTCCACCCCCTTTGCACTCTTTTTTTTTAGGCAACTCTGAACTTAGACCCCACCTCACTGCTTAGACAGAACACCAATGTACAGTTGGACTAATAACTACCTGCGGAGGAAAAGAAATTCAAGGTAGACTGTGGAGGCCAAAGCACCCTTTCTGTTTAGGGAGGCACTGGCCTAAGGCTATTCTGCTTTTCCTCGTTTACTTAATGACAGAGTTTCAAGCCACTACCCAAATTCTCTCTGACCACACAGAGATGAAAGGCTCTCCCCTCTTCAATATTCCCAGCTCTTGAGTCCAGTGCAAAGGGCTACTCGTTTGCTCAAAATTCAGTTTGAGATTTTGCTTCCAAGGAGGTGGCTCACTTAGCCCCTCCCTAATCCAGTAACTAAAAGATTCTAAAAGATACCTTGTAGTTGAATTAAATGGACTTCCTACTGAAACAGGTACCTGCATTTGCACGTTTTGTTTACAAACAACTCGCACTCTTGTGAGAGCACCAAGCTCATACTTCACACATGGCTGTAGTTCTTCTCAGCCCTGCTTTGTGCTCTTAAGTGTTGAAATTCCTGCTTTGAGGAGAAACCAAGCTCTAATTTTCAGTGTTTACATGTACTCCCGAGAGCAAGAAAAAAAATCTTACCATGATTAGGTTATGTAAAAAGTTTAATTATAAAATAAATAAGTTTGTTATGGAAACATTAAATATTAAATACAGTAATAAATATTTACACATTTACAGATATGACTTGACAATTAATGGTGTTTCTCTGCTACCAGAAGAATTCTGCTCTGTTAATGCAGAACACACTCACTCTTCCAAGAAGAAACTGAACTCAAATAACACTCTGTGCTCAAGACTGCATGGACAGTTCAAGAAACCAAGGACACTGGGGTCAGACAAGTTTGAGGTAAGTTGAGTTCTTCGCACCAGAAGGTAGAGCACAAGAGACCACTGCTTGCAGAGTGTCAGTGCATGAATTGAATTCTTGAAAGGAACAAGTTCTTGGTCAAGTTCAACTGACTGGATCTGATGTGAAGCATTTTATACTTAAAGTGCTGCTTAAAGCAGCATCGAGTGTCTGGGTAACAGAAGTAGCTTTGTGTTTATAACAGATGGGTCCAGGCTTATCAGCTTGTTTGAACATAGATCTTTTCCTTCAGATACAGAGCTTCGGATCTTGCATTTACTGTCTCAGCATCCTGAGGAGACTAATTTTAACTCAGGCTAGCACACACGCAAATGGATAGCTCCACTCACACAACGAGTCCTACTGAATTCAGAGGGATTACTTTCCACGCATACAGTAACAGAACCCAGGTGTGGCTGACAACGATCTGTCACCAACGCCCTGCAAGTCAGAATTAGAGATGAAGTTCTTTGAAGCTGATATCAACAGGGAGCACAGTGACAGCAGAATTAGGTTTTTCATCCACTGAGGTCTAGGGAGAGAAGCCCTCCAGAGCTCTTCCCTTTTTAACTTTGGGAGAGGGAAAGGAATTTTTTCCCCTCCATCCATTCCTGAAAGCCTCAACAAGCTCTCTCCCTTAGGGTTAGAGCTGCCAAAGGAGACTTGCTAAGAGAAGAAAGTCCATCGACACAACAGCAGAGACCGGCGCTCCAGCACTGACAGAGAGGGCTCAGTAGCAGCAGTCTCCAGCAGGTCTTGATAGCAGGTCCTCTACCCCATAGTGGCAGCTCCTTCCACATCGTTGTGCCAAGACGTAGTGGTAACTGTCCTCCCCAGCAAGCGATTCAGCAGCAAGTGGCATGTTGACATCTCCTTGCAGCAGCCTCTGTCTTGATGAATCAGGGCTTAGTGGCAACAGCTCCAGCCCACAGTGTCCAGGTGGATGTGTCAGGTAGCCAGAGGTACCCTGCAGCTTGGCAGTAGCCACATCAGAATTGTTCTGTAAGGGGCAGACCAGGCACGTTAATCACCACCCAAGACACAAGCACTCTGTGCTAGAACTGCATCAAACCTACATCTGAGGCAGGTAGGCTGAGTATATGCACACACCTGGGGACACTCTGCTAGATACTCTTCAGCTTCAATTAAGCTTTGAGCAAAACACTCCCATTGTCACTGGACAAAGCTTGGACAAGGTCTGCAGCTGACACGTGGCAAAGCAAAACTTCTGAGTTCTGCCAGAACTTCTCAGGACTATCCTTTATCGTTTCCTCCTTCAGCTTGTAGTGTAACTCCTGTTCAATCAAGGTCCTTGACTCTGCTGTTAGGTACTCTATTGCTCAGAAGAGACCAACTTGCTTGCTCATTAAAATCCACTGGATTACTCCCAAGAGTGATCCACCTTGGCCAAGGAGCTTTAGCACTCAGTTGCTATGACAGTATGAAACTTGACTGAAAGGCTATCTATCTATGGCGCTCACAGAATTGGCAGCTTTGTCGTGGTCTACAGCCTCTAAGCACCAGAAACTTCCTGATGCCTTGCAGAGAAGACATGAAAATGCTCAGTACTTCTCTTATGAGGGGCGATGATCCACTCGGCTGCTGCATTGTCTTCCGTGATGGAAGTCTACCACGGTTACTTGCCCTAAAAACCTGCCTCTGCATAGACATTAGGGTTATTTTTTCTTCTTAAGTCCACTTATCACAGTACAGCTTCCTATCCTCCCTTTTCCTTTAAGACAGCAGCCAGAAAGCTAACAGCGCTGTTGAAGAACTCACACAACTTAGGCGGTTTTAGGAAACCAGAAAACCGAGCCAGTCGTTCACACGTAACCTATGTGTTTCAAGGCACTTCAAGTGTTAGAAGCAAACACTAGCTTTACAAAATATGCATGCAATTCTCATGCGGTAACTCCAGCCTGGAAGGACTGAAAGGCATTTCAAGCCAGCTTTCATACCTGCTTTCTCCTCATTTACACACCAACATGGCCATTTCTGTTTTCTTGTCGAAGTTTTTTCCTTTCTTCTTTCTCTTCATACTGAGGACACTTTTTCCTGACCCTGTGGAATTACGGCATGTTAGAGGTCATTTTGAACCCTGATGTACATCCTGTCGTTACCAGCCCCCGCATCCTCTGCAGCATTTAGACTCATGTCCTTTGAATCCTCAAGCAGCTCATCAGCACCAGGAAGTTTCAAGCAAGACAGTTTTTAAACATTTGGCATCAAGGAGTATCTGACTTTAACATCAAAAAGCCCCCAAGTTAGGCACTGGCAGTTCTGCCTCACAGCGCCAGGGCTTCCTGGCTTAAGCCCGAATAGGTAGCAAGATGAAGAGGGTTTATTGCTGGAACTGAGCAAAGCACAAGGAGACCTTCTGGGGGACAGATTTCCTGGTGGCTTTAGCAAACAGCTGCAGAGACCAGACTGCCTTCCTGCTCCCCACAGCAGAGCCCTGTGGACTTCAAGTATTTGAAGTGCCTGTCCCCTTGATGTGTCCCTTAAAGACATCATAAGCAAGCTGCTTATTGATTTTTCTCCCAATTTCTCCAGTCTTTCCTAATAACTGTTCCAAACAGACCATCTAGCTTCTCTGGATGAAGGTACAGATTAATGAACCTCATGCTTCAAGCCTGTGACGGTTCAGAGCGTTATACAAATGCAATCCTCTTCCATGGCTTGCTTGAGAAACTAACAATGATCATTTGCTCTTACAACACTACAGAACTGGTTATCTCTCCTAGCAGCGAGGAATGAGGCAGTGTTCAGAGAACAAGCGTTCATCCCAGCATTCCTCAAGTTCAGATCTGAACACGAAGCAACAGTGAAATGACAAATGCACACCTTGTTTCCTGAATTGCAGGAAAGGGTACAGCATGCACCCAATTCAATTGACCTAAAATTAGACTGAACTTTTGAGTTTCACCTACAATATCCCAAGCTCTACTGCGATGGAGCTGCAGTGTCCGACCTGGAGGATTGCTCCAATACTCAGGAAACACTGGAGTCAGGCTCCCCGTGCTGACTGACTAACCTCAGCACAAACTCCTGGCGAAGACACTGGCAAGACGCAAAGGCACAGGCAGACATAAGCTGCTTCATACTGCTCGTTAGTAGGTACAAAGAAGAGTTTGCTATAAGGCCTGAAATACATACCCAGAAAAGCTCTTAATTTATTCACCACAGGACCCCGGATTCTGGTTACCCACCACACTGAACTTTCAGCAGTTGCTTAGGCTAGAATGGTTGTTTCCTCCATCTTAACAGCAAGCAGTACAGTATTTGGGACTGATGGCGCTTGTTCCTCCATTTGCTTCCCCCCCCAGAGTACGGATTTAAGCCCAGCAACCTCCATTAGTAAGTGGACAGCTGGAGCACCATTTCCTTCCCTCCAGCTGTGTACCCAGTTGCTGGATAATAGCCATGCGTGCGGCGGTTACATTACAGCTTGCAGGCTTCTCCACAAGGATTAGGGAAGGCACTGCTGTGTCAGCATTAATGCTCCTCCTCCACTAAAAAGCAGCACTGCAACTATCCTGGTTGTAGCAAGATCAGAAAGGCTCTTGTTTTAAAATTTAAGGGTCACAGGCTGCCCACAGCCAATAGCGAGAGAGGGTAAGTGAACAATTAGTGAACTTGTGACCTTCTCAGACCTTGCTTCTACCCTCAGGACATATCCAAGCTAGGATAAGAACACAGCCCTTTTGGATGTCTTCAGGTAATTCAGATGAGCCATGCACATTTCGGGGGTACTGGACACAGGCCCTGCTCGCGCTTAAGGTAGACAGACACCAAAGAGTATAATACTTACTGCACTATCACAATGATAAGTACAGTAATGAAGCTGATGCTTGAGAGCAGGACAGCTACCACTACCAACACAGTCTTCGAGTAGTCTGCCACATCATTCTTCCTTTGCGTCTTCATGAACTGTTCACCACAGCGCTCACCAAAAAAATCCTGATGACACCTGCAAGTAAACATTAACACAAGTTCTTATCAGCTCCCGTGCTGTCTGGAGCCAAGGACACCCACACACATTCAAACCTGACTTAGACATCTTCAGAGTTTCCCATGAATCTCAAGATGCTCCCTTTAGAGCGCATTCATGAAATGCAGTCACTGCTCTAGCACAAGGTTTGTCAGCATTTCAACAAGTCGAGATTAGTCTGGGCGTGATGTTCCAGGAAGACACGCCTTTTCATTCTTTTGGTTTGAGTTTATGACCAACTGATGAGTTCAGTGGCTTGTTATGCATCTCAGATTCCATCATCACTTAATTTACATGGCAGAAAGATTCTCAGTCAAAATACCGCAGGAGATGGATCTATGCCAAGTTGACACTGATTTTTCCTCTGAGCCCTCATACGCCACTGGCTCATGCCAATCACACCTAACGCACAAGGTACAAGTGACTTACTTGCAGGTCACCATCTGGAGATGTTCTAGGTATATGCATTCACCATGGATGCAAAAGTTTTTGTATTCCATTTCACAGGGAGTCCCCTTCTTTTTGTTTTTCCCCTTGTTTTTCTTCCTTCTTGATTTGCCGGCATTCTTCTCACCCCCCCTCTTTGTTGGCTTGGGTTTAACCACAGGTTCAACTGAAAAAAGGACAAGATGACTCAGTCTAGCAATGCTAAAAAGCTAGATTCTGAAAATTGAATTACAGAATTTGGTGAGGGGTAGGAGGATGGTTATTGCAGGAGAACCTGTGACCAGGAAGCACAGGATGCAAGTGAGCATGCAGCTGGGCTTTTCACACCCAGCGCAAAGGCAGCAAGCTTACAAGCTCATTAAGCACAACTCTGCCACCATTAAGTCCTGTGCAATGCAGAACTAAAGCAGTACGAGCAGATGAGCTGAGAGAGCCACCGGAGATGAACAGCAGAGTTGAAGGACTGCGGCATTTCACAGCAGAAGATACTAGCATGAAACCGTACAGGTTTGAGCAAAGACCTGTAACGAACATGTAGTTCACACTGAGCCAAGCCATCCACTAGTTTTATATCGACTCGGGTACAAGGCTAACAGCCTCCATCGCTCTAAACTCACCATTTGCATCAGTGATGAAAGGCATTATAACTCACTACATAGTCCTGGGCACTTGCAGAGACAAGACAGCTTGCTACCCCAGTTAGCATACTTGTTTCTCCCCAACAACCTGCAGTGCTGTCTTCAGCAGAAGATAGTTCATTTCCAGTTCTCCTACTTCGAGAGAGATGCCAAGTGCACTGAAGGAGTCAAAGCAGGGTAGTCTGCAAGAGTCAGGTTATTTGTTCTGCCGCTTACTGTTGCCCCTCATTATCTCAATTAAGACAAACCTCTAGAAGAGTGTGGTTTAAAATGCTGGTGACTTAGTAGCCTTTCGATTGAAGCAAGGGCAATCATCTTCCTTTCGCTGGGGAGAACGAGCTCAAGCCAGTCACTGACTAAGGGTCATAGGCTCTGTAGCTGCTCCATGCAGCAGTCAAAGCTCGATAGCATTGTTTTAGAGCAAGTTGGTAAAACACTGGTTCTCTGAAGGAGCCATCCCTTTCCTGCAAGCCATAAAGCAAGTCTTCTCAGTGCAACACCTTGGGACTCAGGAGTAACAGTTAACCAGGTGAGTTTGAACAGGTCTTAAGAACAGTAGAGCTATTTACAATACTCTTCAGTTTCTCTATTGTGCTCTGCAGACCTAGTGAAAATAATTTTTGGAGTATTAATATTTTACCCAAAGCACTATGCATAAAGGCTATCACCGCAATAGGACGCAACTTGATCCAGTTACTTCATAACCCTGTATTTCTAGCGACAAGAAGAGAGCCTGCACAAAGAAACAAGGTGTAGTTCACTGTTGTCTAGACAGCTGATGGTTTTAACTTCTCGAGCAACAAGCCTGGCTTGAAGTTACTTAAAAGCAAAAACGCCTTCAGCAACCAGAAGTCTGATTCAAATGGTATAAGCTATATTAATATGTAAACGAGGAACACTGTTCCTGCAGCAAGGTTTCCTGTCCCTAGAAGTGTGAGCTTACTACTGACAGCTGAGGCCCCTGTTCTGTCCAGCTCGACTTGATATTTAGGTTCACACTTCCATAATTGACGTTGTTTCCATTCTTCCCTCTTCAAGGCTCTGCTTGTCGGTTTGATCTCCGTGTCCCTGTCTGCAAGCTGCATAGCCAGGAAAGCCACCCGCCTTGAATCATAACCGCTTGAAGGCTGCACAGATAAACCTCATGCCAAGTAGAAGAGCTGGTCTACAAACCAACCACCTTCGGTAGCAATTCTGGTTTCTGTGCAGTTATACAACACTTAAGTCACCAAGCCAGTAGTTTTACAGGCCAAACTGCTCAATAACTCCGACATTCCTGTTCCCCTGGAGGTCTTCAACTCATGAAAAACTTCACCAAGGGTCCACAAATTTTCCAGACTGAGCAGCATCTGGAGCACGGTCCCCCTTCACCTGAGGGGTCCTTTAGTCTTATTCAAGTCTCAGGGTGTTTCCGCAAGAAAAAGAGTAGCCAGATCCACCCTAGAGGGCAACAGCACCACCTACTAACATCTACTGAGGTACAAATCACTTGTAGGTACCTGGCTTCTATTACAATAGCACTTAGGCCAGAACCAACAAAATCCTCCCATCCCCATAGTCAGGTGGACTATTCAGATCTCCTCAGAACTTACAAATGGACAAATCACAGTAAATTCACACAGTAGCTATTGGCAGTGAAGTACTGCCTGAAAGACGCTTAACAAACTTTCCTGCAGGCACTTAAGGGGTTTAAGTGTTTGCTTTCCCAGGAAAGTCAACCCCAACCCAAATAAGCCGTCATGAGAAAACACCCAGGAAACCCTTGGAGCATAAAAGGCAACCTGATGTAAAAGCCACCTTTCAGGGCCAAACAGCACCCACTGAAGCTTCCATGGTTAAGTAGCTAAGTAGGTGGTAGCTGCCCCATCACAGCCCTCCTGTCAGGTTTATCAAAGGAGAGCAGTCCAGCAGGCAATCAGCTAACCTGCAACTTCCATGCACCCTAGGTGCACTCATGCCAAGTTTTCATCCCTGACAGCCTATTTTTAATGCAACAGTTTCATGCAGAAGCATGCTTTTGCTCCGTACTCTACAAGCTAAGTGCAGCAGCCTTACAAGAGAAAGTCAGAAAGAAGTCGGTGCTCACATCTAGAGAGCCCTCAGGCCCAGCACTGCCGAGCTCCTCTCACAGCTGGCCCCGTTCCCCGGCGCCAGAAGGGCTGCCGACTCACCTCGGATCAAGTCGTCCACGATGTACTGGTGGACGGGCAGTGCCTCCTCGTACTCCTCATCTTCCTCGTAGTCGGGCCCCGACACGGCCTCGCC